TAAGAGTACTTTACTGTAGGTGGATGCCTACCATATGACAGACAACACTTCCCTCAAAGTTTTCTCCCATGATCAGCGCTGAGCTCCTTTCGTAACACCGAAAGCCAACTCCAAGAAAATGACATCTAATCCTCTTCCCTGAGCACTTTGAAAGTGATTTTATTCCTATTTTATTCCTGTGAGTTATCTTCCATGTCCACCTGTGTGATTGTCATTGTCAGAGAAGAACTCGAAAGAACAGGCCGTCCACACTTCTGCTGTAGTAAGGAGATAAGCACAGAAAAGAGAACAAGAAACAGTTGGTCTATCGTATAAGAGAAGCGAAATGGAGAGAACAGAATAAATCCAATTTCTTTTATTTTTCTCTCAGAAAACGGAGAGGAATAGTGCTTAATATGGTAAATCATGCTGGCAATTGAATTCTGCAATTGTTGAAATCCATCGAACATTCCTATTGAGTTCTCATACTTCATCTCTTCATCCGAGATCTATTCTCCTTCATTTCAACTGCTTTCATTTCCTAGAGTTGATCTATGTTTTGAATTATGCACCATCATCATTTCTGATCTAAACAGAGAAAATGGTACATCATTGAACACTTCAAAAGAAAAAGGAAAAATAATCTCTCGCATTCAGTTTGTAAAAAATTAATTGATTTTTTTTGCATCATAGTGACCGCGAAAGAGATAGCAATAACCATATTCTTTGAATCTCCTTCAACTTGCAAAAATACTTAAGCACCTGAGTTGATCTCGACAATGATGGTAGAGATTTGTTGTGTGTTCAGTGGTGATCGATGTATCGATCGAATTTATTGTGATATTTTTAAAACCATAGCCAAAGTTTTTGTTTATATGTTTTTAAATCTAATAAGCATTTATTGTAATATTTTAATTGATTTCATCTTTCTATAAATAGTTAATGGATTACAAACTTTTCAATTGTTTTATTTCTTATTCAAAATAGTTCAGTTGATAACACACTGATATGCAATAAAAAAAAAATGATTTAAGAGTATAAGATAATTATACCATGCAGCATGAGTTTTTTCACTAGTTAACATAAATTATTAGCTATGAAAACCTAAATCCCATCACAAAACCTTGTAGTAATTTAACTTTTATTTATTCCTATAGCTATTCCTCAAGACACCATTTTTCCTATAGCTATTCCTACAAATCCAGATATGAAAGCTGTCACTACTATTATCATCTGTCATGTTAGCAACAAGAATTCCTCTCTTTTCTTTTCTTTTCTCTTGTTGCATGTTTTTCTATGAAGCTATGTCTTTTTACATGCAAGTGTTTCCATGCTGTCCTTGTTAACTTTCTTTATTTGGGTGTACTCCTTAGGAAACTTTCCTCAAGCTAGATTGATTATAGCTATTACAATTTTGTGGTGTAGCAATTTACTACTTGTATGTCCAAACTACATGGGACATTATGGGAGTCACTATAGTTCTCTCCTGCTTTTTTATATACTCTCTCTCCTGACAGTCATTAGCCCCACAAATGAGATTGATGGCAAGAGACATCATCCCAATGACCTTTCGGATTGATTTGGTCCAGTGTAGGAACATTGTCTCCTAGTTGGAGACATCATCCTCTGTGACCTAATCAATGTGATCTTGATACTTCCTGATGGAGTTGTGTTGAGATGTATGTTCTATGTTCCTAGTTCACACAGTTGGACTGGACTGCACTGGTGTTTTTCTCCAGGATCAAGTGGATTCAACCTCAAATCAAGTGTACCAATCTAAAGAACAAGTTGCTCAGCACAAGAACAACTTGTGCTATTAGTCAGGCATATGGTGATACTGCAGAAACTGTTATTATTATGGGCTATGAGAAGCTGCAGTTTTTGGTTCATGTAATCAAGCAAGGAAAGGTCAAAATCATATAATATCTTCAATAACAGCCTTTTAGAATCATGAGGACACATTTATTATTTTGAAATGATGTTTCAAAATGATACGACAAATCAACTCAATTGGGATGAAATAATAATAAGTCGTAGTTATGGTGGATCATAGTGATTTCTTTGAGTCCATTTACTTGTTATAACAGGCCTTTAAAACTTATTTAACAAATGAAAAACATTTATTGCATTATAGTCTGAATGCTAATGATCAGATCATTGCATAGATCAATATCAAGTCCACAAGCAGAACAGGATGAGGAGGATGGCTTCGAGGAAGATGAGAAAGACTGCATGATGTGTAGATCTCAGAGAAGAACATACAATCTCTTCATGGTAGTTTTATGGATGATGATGATATAGACGGATGGTAAGTGGGAAACTTATGTGATGGATATGGAAAATCCAACTATGAAGGCTCAAATGAAATCCTGATGTAGAATCCATGCGAAAGGCATTGAAACATTCATCCATTTCTCTTGAGTTGAGTTACAAGTGAAGTTTTGTTTCTGGGGACTCAATGCATCTGTTCTTGTTTCATGTGTATGTATATACTTACTTGTTTCTCGTAAATGATTTATCACTAATTGGTGATTGCTTTATCATATGTGTTATCATTGAGACTAAACTATACAGAAGAAACGTGTGTTTTGCAATTAACAAATATGAAATCAAAATGAAAAGAAAGGAAGGATGCAATGAAGTTGTCGATTAGACAAGAAACGATGGAGATAAAGCTGGAGTTCATGAGAAGTATCACTCCCAAGTGCTTGGATACCATCATGCTTCTAATATCACATAGAACTCGATAAGATTATCTTTTCAGACTTTTGGAATTATTTATGTCACAACCCCGAAGTAGAGGACATGACGATTCTGGAGATGGTCATGAGCTAAACTATTTCAAGTCTGATGATGATGATGATGATGATGATTATTATTATTATTATTATTATTATTATTATTATTATTATTATTATTTACATCACATAATTGAAAAGTTATCTACGTTAAAATCAGAATAATGATAAATATTATATTTAAAGATTAACGTGGTACAAAAATATAAAAAGATAATTACATCAAAAGAAATTATCTAATATCGATAATTTTAAGTGTCCCCTCAATATAACATACATGAATCACTAAGATACACCCCCAACCACATTAGAATAAGAATAATGATAAATATTATATTTAAAGATTAACATAGTACAAGAATATAAAAAGATAATTACATCAAGAGAGTTATCTAACAGTTTCAAGTATTCCTTTCATACATACATAGATCACTAAGATGTACTCCCAACCCTAAATCAATCGTAAATACTTCAGTAAGTTATTTGTGGTGATAGGAAAAAGAGGTGAGTATTTAAATAAAACACCCAATAAGGAAACATACCCTCCTTCATAGGGCAAGGAAGCAAAATGACAATTTGAAGCACATCAATTATACAATACATGCATCAAGCTTTAAACATATTAACATTATCAATAATGCATCAATCAGAACAACACGTGTATTTTGCACAAAAATAAATCAATATGTATGAGACTAAAATGTGTTTGTATTTAAATGTCGATGCATCTTATGTTATTTATTTTTTTTATATTATATTTATAATATATATATATATATATATAAAATATAATGATTAGACAATTAGACACATACTAAATTTGAAGGAATCAATCCTATCTTACGAATAACATCCTTGATGAATTAAAAATCATCCTATGAGTTTATCACCTAAGAATATATTTCTCATAGGATGATAATATATTACTCATGAAAATCATTATATGAAATATTTATTTTAAAATTTTTAATTGATTGAAATTTAACTCTTTCTGGGTTTTACACAACAAATAAAAGAATGATTCTATACCTTTATGGATACTCTTTATGTGTGGTTGTAAGGTGTTTGATACAGATTCGTGAGCACTATATATTAAAAATGCAAAAAGTAAAAAAGTGATCTTGGGGAAAAAAACATGTGAAAAAGCAAGACTCCAAAAGACAACATAAAAAACATATATTTTAGCCTTTAAACATTCTTAAAATAAAAAAATCTAAAATTTATAATTCGTTTTATTAAATAAAATGTATAACAAAATTTTTGAGTTTACAAAATGAAAATAATGCTAATAATCATGACAAAACTCAAAATATCTAAAAATTAGAATTAAAAAAATTAATATTTTTAAAATAAATTTCTTAGTCTCATACTATATATACAATGGGTGGCGTTGCCATATTTTTAATAATTAAATTATTTTATGAATAAAGAAACTAACATAAGTGACATATTAGGAAAAGCATCATTTTGAAAAGGAATTAAAATGATATTTTCACCTTAATGGTTTGTTTGGGGATAAACTTTTTCTTCACTTTTTTTTTTTTTGTCTTGCGTTGGATAAATATAGGTCATTGTGATTTAAGAGTGCATTATAATCAAAGGAAATGAGGGGAAAACGAAGGTTGAATCTCATTGAACCGAAGCCAGATGAAATTAATATGACCGATAGGAATTTCATAGAAATTATTTTCTCTAATCTTTCTTGAACAAAACATTTTGATTATAATTTTCCTGAAATGAAACTGATGTTTATGGAGGGACGAAGCTGAGCTCCACGAGTCTGTCGACTGCCCTACATCTTCCCACGTGAATTCCACATGTCACTACAGCATGAACAGAAACAACGAGAGGAAGACGACGCTGCATCCGCAAAGCGTCGGAAGAAACCCGCCCCCCGCCACCTTCTCCTACGTGTCTGCGCCGATCTCGCGGCCTCGCCGTGCTGTCGTCATCGTTGTCGCATCGCCCATGGCGGTGACCGCCCACGAGCCGAACGCCACGGGACGCTTTCCCACTTCGCCTCCGCCGTGCTGTGGTTGTCGCGGTCATCTGTAATTTCGGAATAAATTCATTAAAAAATAATTTTATATTTTTATATTGAATAAAATATCTGCACAGTATGGATATTACCGACAAGTTTAGCATCGCGAACTTTCCGGAGACAGCCAAGCATCTTTCAACAAAATGTTATCACATGAGGAAGTCGAAAGAACAGGAGAGGGATGGATTCATCGTCGAACCATTCATATTAGGTTTATATGCAGTCACATGACGAAGAGATGAACTGTTTCAGAAGGACAGCAGATGTGGGGTTCCGACAAGTGAAGGAGGGGAAGAGGCGACGTGCCGGAGCAGGTCCTCGTTCTACACACCGGTGCAGCAAATAAACAACATGGAAGTAAAAAAATGTTATGGCCGCCGTAAGAGGCATCGCACGTTTACGCCACGTAACGGGAGGTGAAGGGTTAGGGCAGTCAGGCCACTGCAGTCATGCCAGGCGTGCACCCAGCAATCCCAGCCTTCTGCGTGTCTACGCCCGGCTGCACCGCCCAATGGAGGCGGGAGCCTTTCCCCGAGACGAACATCTGGGCGCCGCCCTGCCACCGCCGCCTTCATCGTCGTCATCATCACCGTCATTCCGTTCCTCCGCCTCGGTCTCTCCGGTTTTGTCCCTTCCTCCTGCCGCCTGATAAAAAGAGGAGCGACGCAGCATCAACGACACAGTGGAAGGATCGAAGGTTGGTAGATGGAGAAGCTGGCGTTATCATGTGAGTTCTCTACATGCTCTTTCATGAGTTTTCTAGATGAAACGAGTTGCTTTTAACTAATCATGCATATATTATTGTCTCAGTTCTCTCTCTGTGGATAAAGGCTTGTAAAGGTAAATAAAGGAAAGATATGGCCATGGAAAGGAAGTCCCTACAAATGTTTCAGATAGGTTTATTGACTTCATCCCAAGAATATTACCAGGATAATTTTTTTTATATAGAAAATTGTAGTGCAATTGGATTGTGATTTAGTATATGCTAATTTTGAGCAGGAAATATGTATTACTAGAGATGTATGTATGCATACCTCCTCCTGAAGCTGGTTTAGTGAACCCGTCGTTAGTTGTGTCTGCAAGATCACAAAGTTGATGGATTAGCAATAGGGTTGAATCATCACAGCAGATGTGAAGCAAGCAATTTAGATGTCTTTGGTTATAGTAAGCCTCCAAAATAATCTATCAGGTTCAAATGATTGAACCGTGTGCATGCATCAAAGAAACAGCTGAGTTTGATATGATAGTAGTTGCTAGCACTGTAATTTTAGTTGACATGATTATACTAGAGCAAACGTGATTTAACATTTTTTATTCGGAGACAGATGGATACAAATGTTATGCCGGTGTTGTAAGAGTTGGATAGTTCTTAACCTTTCTTGATCTTGTCCATTGTAGTGCGTCAGACAAATCTTTCTCCAATTTACAAAGGTTATCAGCATTTAATTGTGAGAAAATTGTTTTGCGAAGTCTGCAAAGAAAAAAAATAATCAGTGGAAGCTTTATGAGAGACTCTTGTTTTAGGTATGATAAAAGTCAGATTATAACCTTTTACCGATTTCCTGTAATTTCATATCAGCCGCTGGATGACCAAATTCTTCATGTTTCTGTAAAAATCATGGTACAAGTTACTTCAATAATATTAACAAGAAATATAACAAGTTTCCTTGATATAAAGTAATCAACATCTTTCAGCAGAAAAGATGCATAAGAAAGTGAAATCAAGGATCGATTCAATTGTTTAGTTAAGTCCGAAGGCATATATTTGTAATGTTTGCTTGATCATTGTTGTGATACACATCCATGAGTACATGTATGATCATTGTTTGGATGTAGGAAAAATATCCTAAGAAAGAGTACGAGTCCATTAGTGCCAGAATCATGGAAGATGCTACATCGGTTGGAACAGGGAAAGGGTTTTGATGATGGACCTTGTATAACTTGAATTTGATTTCTTAGAGAGTCTTCGTACGAAATATAGCCAACATAAAGGCATAGTATGAAAGAACCGGCAAGAAATGGATTTATTCCTTTAAAACATGTTCTAGAAATTAAAGACCATCTCTGTTGCCAAAGTTATTGCTCGAATGGTTTTGAATATGGAGCAAAACTTGGACTTCTTTTTTTCGCTTCATTTTAATTTGCAATCAGGGAAAATAAATCATATTTGAGAAGTGATCGAGCAACAAAAAAATACATGAAAATATAACAAAGAACTGATTAACCTCTGGAGAAGAAAAAAAGAAAAAAAGAAGAGAACAAATAAGGGACATTACAATTATATTTATAGTTTTAGGTGAAAACTATGAGATAGAGTGTTAAGCCAGACATAAGCTCACCATAGAACTTTTGCTCTCACAACTTATTTAACTTTAGCCTAACCCGTAATCTTGTCAAGGATATAAGTGGCATGTTTAAGGTCTAGATGTAGTTCAAGTCTCTCATGTATACTGTGAATGTAACATGGCTGCTTTCGAAGGTTGTTTTGTCTGGAAGAGTTGTTATCTTAATAATCCGATTAGAAGTTTGATGTTTGATGCCGAAGGCGTAGGTGTAACTTCTTTTTGAAGTAATATGATTTCTTTTCTATTTAAAAAAAACAAGTTTCAGAATAATATATCTTGACAATACATGCCAACAGTACAAGAAAATAATAGATCAATTTCTAAGAACAGGTAATATGAAAAAATGATAGCAAGAAAAGAAACATATCATTTATAAAGGCATAACATGTTGCACTTCAGATTGCACCATTGAGTCCGGTTAGAATAAATACTAAATTAGAAACATTTATTATGCATGACCAAAAAAAATAAGGAGAATTGGCATACGCCAATATCAAGTCTCTTAATGATGTGACTTAGACTAATTTCAGGAGAAGGAAGAAATCATCCATCGATGAGCAGCGCATATTTGATGCAAGTTCACTAGGACTACATATTAACAATTCATGATACATGCATAATTAGAAATATAAATCAGGACAAACATATAGACAAAGACCGAAGAGCATATTCTGGTTGGAAATGCTTTGTAATGACACTTCATAAATAGGTCGAGGTAATTGAAAGAAACCAAAATTCCTAGTAGATCAATCTATTGAAAGAGGTGGAACTAATAAAAACAAAAACGCCCTCTCTCTTTAAACTATCCTTGTCAAGTGGTGGTGATTCACAACCATGTCTCAATTCCATTAAGATTCCTTTTTGCCATTTTATATATCAAGACAAATTGTAATGTGTCATGCATGAGTGATACAAAGTTGAGACAGTCTTCAGATTTGTGTATGTATATATTTGTGATGCAAGAGTAATACAACTTGTCTTTATTCAACTTGCCCTGTAAGTAAAATTATAAGATGGCCTTTTATTGATCTAGATTCCTAGAATTCCTAGAATCATCCTGATTAGTTGAAGATGGTGATTTTAAGATTACTATCGATTTTTGAAAAGAAAAAAAAAGAGAAGAAACTCTCTGTTGCACTCATACACACCTGTATACATTATTTCATGATGCTTCAGGATCAAACATGGCTTTTTAAGTGATGATAAACTCCTTTCCTATTCCTAATTAGTAATTTGTACCGAGCCTAGTCTTACTGGTTCTATTGTGTCTTTTAGACAACGAGTGAAACAAACTTTTTGAAACACCTGACACTTTGAATGGAGTTGTGCAATGCATCAGATGTTGATGACATTTATCTCAAATTAGGAACCTGATGAGTGATATGTGCAACCACTAACTCGAGAACCAAGTTGTGAACTTGACCAATTAATTGTCAAAGTCATGTTGATATGCCAAATACTGAGCACCTGCCAGTTACATGTATCGCATACATAAAAAATTGGTGGCACACACTGTGTTATGCCCCCATAAAAAATAGCATGCCAAATACATTGTTTTGATAGATCAGGTCTGGATAAAGAAAAAAATGTCAGGTTGGTAATTTTTCTACTTTACATTTAAACATTTCTTATGAACTCATGCTTTAGTTGAAGGCTGATATAATTTCTAGAAATATGATAGACAATGAAACATGTGAAAAAGTTTCACCTGCATATTGTCATCAGACTTGTTCACATCTCCTGCTGCATTCGAAAATTTCCGGTAACGTTCTACTGTTTTCTCTATGCTGAATTCAACATAAAATGGTTAGTCTCCAATTGTACTGCCCAAGAAAACTGTTGTGGCAACTGGCAACTGGCAACAAACAAGTTATATGGTTCATCCTCACTCTCAAGAGAGATAAGTACAGATGTGTAATAAAATCTAAGCATTTGAATGACCAAGTAGTAACATTGTTTCCTTTGCAAGATTTCCAAGGATTCAAGGAGAGTATGTGGATATGCATGAAGAGAGGTATGTTATGTGGACATTGTCGAGGTTTTATGATCTCTGGAATAATAACATTCAATACTGCAAGTAACATTAGTTTGTTACACTGCTATTCATATTAACACTTTTTTTTTTCTTGATCAGGGTATGATGAGTGAAGGCCATTTGCCATGACAAAATAAGGGTGTATCATTCAAATAATTTAAAGAATGATCAAGAAGCAGATAAATTCATCATCAGACAAGGGTGAATATATTTAGATATACAAAGTTGTGAAAGAAAGGCAATAAAATGTAGTGTGTTAGACGCAAGAAGAAAGAACAGTCATCTGGCCCAAACAAAAAGCTAAATGCTAACAGGCCAAATCACAGCAAAAATTTCAGGAGGACAGCTACAAATTATATTTCGTCGTATAACATTCCAACAAGATAAAGGTATGGGGAACCATATAGAACACTTTGTTCATGTTTGTTATTTTCTATATCTATATATTTGTTTTTTCCATTTCCTGTATTGCAAGTTCTTAGTAATTGTTTTTTCCTGCATAAACTATGTAAACTTTATATCTGTTAAAACTATCTAACCTATTGACTTACTTGACACTAAACTTAGGAAACAGCATCACATTTCATTTTATTGATCCTCTCAGGATTATTTGCTACTATGTTGCTTTTCTGAAATACTTGAACCTTTAATATGTCAAAATACTACATAAAGGGATGAAATATGAATTAGCATTATATCCTACCTGTTCTACCTCTTTATAATCCTCATGCTAAGCAGTGACATGCTTCATCATTATCATGTTTGATGATATTAGTCTATATATGCCAAAGTATCCATTTTATCTATAGGAACCATTTTACAGTAGTTTTAGTCTTCTCTTATTTTATAGTTAATGGCTTGATGTTTCTTCTCTTTGTAGAATGTCATAATTTACAATGAGCAATGTCTAATCGGTCGACCCCTTCCCATTTTTCGCCTACCCCATATAGGCAACATTCATAACTTAAGAGTGTAAAACTATTAGAAGAACATGAACTTAAATTTGATCCATTAGGTGAACTCGTTTGGTATGTTACAATTTAGTGGAAATCAGAAGGAAAGATCTTATGATTCATTGACTAAGAATATCAAACATAGCTATTCATTCTTCTACATACTTGATATCCTACATATCTAAATTAATAGTGATTTGCTTATTGGTGTTGAGTGGTTAGAGGGTATCAGTTAGGATTATGCACTGATACCAAGCAATTTTATTAGTCATGTTGATGACACAAACAACACGATAAGCTTCAAGCAAGTTCCTAGAATCTATGGATGGTGCTTAGCAGATGTCAAGACTTTGTTCATGATGACTCCTTTGATGTATGGAACTAAATTGATGGAATACTTGAGCAAAATTCTTTGTTCTCTCATATTTGGATTTCATTTTCCTCGAGTTTCTTGTGAAATTTTTGGTTCTTTAATGACCTTAATGCCACTTCATCATACTAATTCATTTACCCATGACAGAATTTTATTTTTGATAGCTTTAAGCATCACCTCATTTTAGCAATCTCATATATTCCTGTTTTTAAAATTTTTTTCTTGTGTCTTGGGATCGAAGATTATAAAAATATTAATGGCGATCGTGTAATCTTTTCTCTTACTCTTTAGATATTTTGGGTAAAGAGATATATTAATCAAAATTTTGCACACATATTTATGTGACTAATTGATTTGGGACGTTATAATCCTCATCATGTGTGTTCTTGATGTTCTCATCCTCATTAGGTCAAAATGTATATTTTTCATTGTTTCAATCAAATCACTAGATCCCCATAGTCCTACATAGGTGATATAGGATACGAAGATGCTTTCACTTATCGTTCTTTGTTATCAAGCCGAATTTGTATACTAGTCATTTGTATACATAATATATTTTGCAACAGGCTTGATAACCACTTAGCTAATCACAAAAAAATGTACTCAAAATTCTCTTTAAAGGGCAGGTAGAGATTTATATATTTATCAAGGACTAGGTACACTTTTTCTTTTTTGGGTATATAAATGAAGATGGGCTACGATCCAAGACCTTACAATGATATAACAAAGTTTTCAGCAATCAAACTACTTCCACTTCAAAAATTTTGCAAGGTTAAACCTTCATCTTAAGGTAAGTGAGTTAGGTACGTTATCACTAGACAAATATTTTAGATGTGAAAATGTATTGGATGTAATTTGGAGTCTTTGACCTAAGATAAGTGACTCAATGTACACTCATTGCTACTCATATCTAGTGTGGGATTAGTTACATTGGATCAATGAAATCCATGTGGGAGATGATGTAGCATTTGCGCATGGTTACAACCCATGATATTAAATCAACAATCGTTTTCCTCTCCTTTCTTTTTAGTTACTTTCTATTTAATTTGATATTGGCTCATGTCTCCCTCCTTTTCTACTGCTACTTTCTCTTTCTCTCTTGGAGAATTTTTTTTAACGAAACAAATATATGATTAATTTTTTTTTTTGACATGTCCCTATGTTGTTTATTGTGTATGTGGAGTGAAAGTCAATGAACGACTGAAGTAATTTATATTTAAACAAATTAATTGGATTTTTTACAGTTTCATAATCCTATAAAAATTTGTCTATATTAAAATTTTAAGTTCTCAAAGTATATTTATATTCTTAGGATAAAATGATTGCTATTAGTAAAATGATGAGGAGAGAGAGAGAACCTAAAAAAATAAAAATTATAAATAAAAAATTAAATGTTCTTAACTTAATTAAACATATGATTCTCTAGAGATCCCAATAGTGGTAAAAGATTTAAATAGTCAACCTAAAATAGTTGGGAAATTATAGTTTTATCATTGTTATTGTGTGTATGTTCATATTTTTAGGGTAAGAATAAGTAATTTAAGAGTTTACGATATTAATATCTTTAATAATGTTGATGTTCATTTTTATATTTAAAATATACGTTGGATTTAACCCTAAGATTTCTATTACAAAGACTGAAAATATTACCTACAGATCTTAATTAGCATTCTAATGTTAGTCACTATTTTTAATGTTTATGTTCAATGATGCTACAAATCATGGTAGGCAATGAGTAGCAGCCAAAAGTAATGTCAAGTATCTAAATACAATATTCACATGAAATTTTCTCTGCAAGTATCAGTTAGAATTTAAACATTATAATATTACATAATTTTTCATGGTCAATTCCAGATGTTAGAATCTCAATGTGCAATATGAGCAGTTACAATTAATCTATGATCACTGGAAAAGAATGATAAATGTAATACCTTTTTTTTACCTGTACTATCAACAAAACAAATCAAATGATGATTTAGTGGCATATTGGTTTATATATGTGATTTTATTTCTTCATGATCATTCTTGTATGTCACTGAGTGGTCAAACCAACAAAATGGAGAATAAAATTCATGGTTGGTCTAGTTCTTTAATTGGATTGTTTATATGTACATAGTTGATCACGTCAATCTGCTGTCCACTCTGTAAGAACCTATTAAAAAATATACTAAAATATTATGAAATTCAGTCATCATAAGATGACAAAGAGCAAAGAACAACCAGGAATAACAAGCTGGAGGAAAGAAAAGGCATAATAGAACAGAGAAGTAAAATACTAAGAAGACCAATTTACTATGCTTGAGCACAAGTACAACAAAAGCATGTGTTTCAAATATTTGGGTGCATCATTGTCCACCATCTGGCTAAATAGTATCAGTTCTTTTGACTACTAAAATAATTTCCTAGAAATCATGTGACATATGCTAATTTGATCTGTTCCGAATTATGTCCATGATATTTAGCTTCTTTGTATTTTCATCAACTGATTTAAATTTCCATAAACAAACTATGATAATTGAAAAGAAAAGAATAAATATCCAAAATTTTATAAACTTTTATACATATCGAGACATCCTAATAGTTACTGCATCTTCGTAATTTAAGTTAGTAGTTGAGCGTTTTATATATTATTTAATGTAACAAAAAAATTATAATCTTTTGAAGTTGTTATACTAGCATAGTTATCGAATAGTATTACAATGTTTTATTTATTTATTTGAGATCAACCATTTGACTTTTTTTTCTCGTTATATATTTTTCCTTTCAAGGTGTGTGAAAGGTGAGATTATTGTATTGTCATAAATTTAGCTGATTTTTTTAAAATTGTGTGGCATCTTTGCATGTCTGTTCGTAAAATGTTAACCTTCCAAAAGTATTTTATGGTCCCTTAAGGACTTACAAAAGAAAAAATAGGTTAGAGAAAATGTTAACACTCGAGATCTACAAGCAATCATTTCAGTAAACACTTGATAGACAATGCAAATTATAAACATTGATTTCATAAGCTTTGAACGGTCATGCCATAAAGGGTCTAAGGTGGTCTGTCGTGATCAAAAGTCCCCACAAGTGCTCATATGACACTACTGCGGACCAAGACAACGAACTAGTCTTAGACACTACCCTAAAGGCTCATCCAGCCATATGCCACTTTGGTAGCTCTTGGGTGTTGTGATGACTAACATTTCGCACCACTCTACGGAACTAGAAAACTCTCAAAATGATTGTCTATATGACATGTTTCTAGGTAGTTTTGCCTCTACGCGATGGCTGCATACAATATATGATTATAAGCTTGAAACAGTCACAAAAGCTAACTAAAATAAAGTTGTCAAGCCTACTGCAAGCTTTCTACATGCTGTGCAAAGCATGAACAAAATCGAAAGATAGATATATATGAGCATTACATCGAATACCTTTTTTAACAGC